ACCGAAAATTTAAACATGATACCCGAAGCACCGACTCTATTCAGAGATAGTGAAGAAAACAAATTAAGCGAGATAATAGTGACTAGTAACGATGTTAGTAAGCAAATAGACAAACTAAAGCCTAATAAGTCACCTGGTCCCGATGAGATAATTGCCAGAGTATTAAAGGAATGTGAGGAAGAACTTTGTATGCCCTTAGCAAAGTTGTTTAACATGTCCTTAAAGACAGGTGTAGTACCAGAATCCTGGAGGATAGCGAATGTAATACCGATTTTCAAGAAGGGGGATAGATCACTATCCTCTAACAACCGCCCAATCAGTCAAACATCAATAGTAGGCAAATTACTGGAAGCAATCATTTCAAACTCTCTTCGAAATCACCTGGAGAAGCACCGATTGATCAACGATTCCCAGCATGGCTTCACAAGCGGGCATTCATGTCTAACTAATCTATTAACATTCTTTTCATCAATTTTCGAATCGGTGGACGAGGGGCACAATTATGATGTGGTATATCTCGACTTTAGCAAAGCCTTCGATAGAGTCCCCCACGAAAGACTAATTAGAAAGGTAGAAGCACATGGCATCAAGGGTAATATCCTTAAATAGGTTAGGGCGTGGTTACAGGACAGGAAACAGCGAGTGAGCATTAACGGCACCAAATCCCATTGGAGCAACGTCGCTAGTGGAGTTCCCCAAGGCTCAGTACTTGGACCATTATTATTTATTATATACATAAACGACATAGATATCGGCATAGACAGCAACATAAAGAAATTTGCCGACGACACTAAAATAGGACGTGTTATTAAATCTGACGAGGACTCCGCAAAACTACAGGAAGATCTAAACAAATTTTTCGAATGGTCTGAAAAATGGCAGATGAAATTCAACGTGGACAAATGTAAAGTACTCAGTATAGGAGATGTAAACAGGGAAACCAGATGAACAACGATGCCCTAGAGAAATCCGACTGCGAGAGAGATTTAGGAGTAATGATAAGTAGGAACCTTAAGCCAAGTAAACAATGTGTTTTTCCTTGTAACAAAGCTAATAAAGTACTTGGGTTCTTACACAAAGGTGTGTTAGTTACAAGACTAGTTACTGTATCTTGCGCTTGTGAGACCACACCTGGATTATGCAGTTCAGTTCTGGTCACCGTATTACAGAATGGATATAGAATCCTTGGAAAGAATTAAGAGGAGAAGGACAAGACTAATCCCGGGCATTAGGAACCTTGAGTATAGAGGCAGGTTAAAGCATCTTATTTGCACTCCCTCGAGAGACATAGAGTGAGGGGCGACCTGATAGAGGTGTATAAATGGAAGTCAGAGCTAAACAAAGGGGACATTACAAAGGTACTCAAACTATCCAACCAGGAGCAAACTCGTAACAATGGTTTTAAATTAGACAAATTTAGATTTAGGCGCGAAATAGGTAAACACTGGTTTGGAAACAGAGTAGTGGATGAATGGAACAAGTTACCAAATATCATCATTAACTCGAATACGCTGAATAGCTTCAAACATAGGTTGGATGCTTATAATTATGTGCAATAGGGGTTGGGTGTAAACGGGACTGCCCAGTATGGGCCAATAGGCCCGCTGCAGTTTCCACCATTCTTATGTTCTTTTGTTCTTATGTTTAGTGGCTTGAGGTGGACGAAGGGCGAGAGGAGAGAGGTGAGTCTTGTCTTGCCAATGTTGTGTGTTTAAGGTTAGTCAAACAAGGGTGGTGGTATCAGGAAAGTGACTGTGGTACTGCCGGAAAAGTAGTTGTGGTGGTGCTACTGGGAAAGTGATTGTGGTGGTGCTACTTGGAAATGATTGTGGTGGTGCTAACGAGAAAATGATTGTGGTGGTGTTACCGGAAAAGTGATTGCGGTGGTACTGTCAGAAAAGTGTTTGTGGTGGTGCTACTGGGAAAATGATTATGGTGTTCCTGAGGAAGTGATTGCGGTGGTGCTACTGAGGAAGTGATTGTGGTGGTGTTACTGAGGGAGTGATTGCGGTGGTGCTACTGAGGGAGTGATTGTGGTGGTGCTACTGAGGGAGTGATTGTGGTGGTGCTACTGAGGAAGTGATTGTGGTGGTGCTACTGAGGAAGTGATTGTGGTGGTGCTACTGAGGAAGTGATGGTGGTGGTGCTACTGAGGGAGTGATTGCAATGGTGCTACTGAATGATTGTAATGGTGCTACTGAGGGAGTGATTGTAATGATGCCACTGAGAGAAGGATTGTGGTGAGGAACATTTATTCCATTATATAACTCTCCAAGTATTATTACATATAATATACTTTTCCTGCCAACTTAACAGTTTATAGTTAATATAAATTTGACTAATTCACCATATATATAAATTACTAATTAAACAGGTGATATAAATTAATAATCTAAAACGACTTGGGGGTGGGGTAAGTGTGGACCCTTTACCTGTCAGACTTTGGGATACTTATGTGAGCAAAGTAACTCGCAGCCGTAGTGAATATTTTCTTATATTTCAATTCCAATATATACAAATCCATCTTCACAGTGCAATTAGATTAGTATTAACCCGAAAAGAAATGATACAAAGTAATAATTATTAACAAAACTGCCGATTATTCATTCTTACAAGGTAAACTAAAATTGACGTAAATCAACTGTTAGGTATGAAAAACTAAGGCAAAATATCCAACCAAATAATACGAATATTATATAATTATTCTTTGATATATTATCTTCTTTAAATAATTATCTATCCGTGTTTTTTGTATAGTATGTTCTGCCTTTGTGTATTAAGTAACTCATTTAAATTGTTGTGGAACTTGTCAACCTCAGATCTCGTGATGTCACCAGGTAAAGTGAGGTCGCCCTCTGGGTACATTGTGTGAGGTCATATATTTCACTGGTTGAGTCCTATTTGTTAGAGAGATCTCAGTGTGTGATGATTGGTGGAACCATTGCAGATCCTGTCCCTTTGCAGTTTGGAGTCCCACAGACATCAGTTTTGGGACCACTTGTGTTTACAGTCTACACCAGTAGTCTTGCATCTCTGCCGGATGTCCGTAGATGCTCGGGGTGTTGCCTATTTTCTATGCCGATGATAATGAAATCTTTAATGTCTGATACGTATTAAGATTTGGATGGCTTGGAGAAAACTTGGACTGAATAATCGCAGAACCGAGATTATCGTCATCCAGGGAAATATGAAGGGAGAAGACACAGATGATTGGGCTCCTTTATACAGTACTTTGGGGAAATGTAATTCAGTCCTGTTGATTCTGTGCATAATCTTGGAGAGTAATGTGAATCAAAAATTAATATTAAATAGCATATAAATTCAGTAGTTGCAATTTTCATATTCAAATTCTATAGTACAGCTCAGTATGTTGTTAATCACTTATTTGGATTGACAATGTATTGTGAGTACAGTATTATATTTTTCGAGTATTTTAGCCGATAAAAGTACCAATAATATTACGGTAGTTGCTCAAAGTGGAGAAGGGTTTGAAAGAGGGAAAATGTGGAGTAAAATACTAAAAAGAACAATAAACGAACCTTTGAAAACCTGACCTGACCTAACCTATAAAAATCCTAAAACTATAAAGCACGTACAGCACCTTATTGTTGTTGTTTAATGTGTTGAAGTTTTCCGTGTTCAGGTGGGGAGGGGATCTATGAACTTGAAAGTGATTTTTAACCTTTCTATAGATTAAGGAAGGTTAGGTCAGGTTTTCAAAGGTTTGTTATTTTTAGTATCTTACCCCACATTCTCCATCTACTTCAAAGCCCTGTCCACTTGTTGGGAATTGGTGATGTCTTATACAGTACTGTACTGTAAGTGGGAAACACTGGAGCACCTTAGCTTATGTGTTTATTCAAGACATTGTCAGGTCATGAGACCCAACTGTGGGTGACCTGACATTGCATCAGAAGGTCAGTATTTTGAGACCACTCATCGTCCACCCTACCTCCACCTGACATTGCATCATGTCTGTTCAGTAACAGGAGACCCCCACAGCTCAGTGTGACTGGGAAATACCCGTCGTCGTTGTAACACCGTATCAAAGATTTGTAGTTTTTTAATTATATTTATTTAACTAAGCTTTTAGATCAACAATTCGGGATTATTCTAGTAAAGAAATGGAATTTCTAACATAATTAGAACTGCTTATACGGACTCCGGTAGTTTAGACTCCCGGAAATCTTTCCCCAGCACCCAGAAACATTCTGGGATGTGGGCTAGTGTCTGTCTGTGTTGTTTAGTCTCTGGGAAACTTTTCCCGGTAACCGAAAAAAAGAAATCCGAGGACAAGGGATTTTTCTGTTTGAGAAAGTCGTTTGGACACCGGCAAATATCTCGTCCCCGGAAGTTGCTTCCATCAAAGAAAGTTTATTTATTTATTTAATTTTTGCATAATATGCAGAACCCCCGACTGAAATTAGATTAGGTTAAATAAGTTTCTTTGGTAAGGTTAGGTTGTGTTGGGTCCTGTTCATTTTTGTTTCCATTTTTTGTGTTCAATATCATGCAAATAGTATCTCCTCCAAAAATTTGGGTTCAATTCCATGAGTTTTTTTTTGTTCTGGTGCTAACGGTCTCCTTCACCTTTACTCATTATAATGTTTTACAGTGTTGTGTGTTATTGGTTACATTTCCAGGAAGCTTGAAGGACCAGCAACACATCTCGGTATGACCAGTACAGACTCAACTGTACACACTGTCCAGTAGGGTGTGTCAACATGTTAAAAATCAAATTTGGTAGTCAAAATATTGTGCCTCTTTATGTCTAAACTTGAGATTAGCAAACAAAAATGAATTGAAATAACCCTCACCTACATCAATTATACCTTAAAGTTTCAAATATCAGTATTTCAACAAATTAATGAGACTTGATTAGAATTATTCACTTGATATTAACTAATCTCATGTAAGCATATGGATTATGGAGTATTTGATGGTTCTATAGCTTGTGTACAATATGCATGTCAGAACATGAACAGGCTCTCCGTGTGGGACAGTTTAATTCTTGTTTTGACTTGTACCAAGCGTGAGGATAAGGCGCCCGGCTCACTCTCCTTCTAGATATCATAGACGGTGGTTTGCTCTCATTGCACTTGCACCTACTCTACCAGACGAATTCTACATTTTAATTATTGTAAGTAGGGCATATTGATTGTCGCAGTTACTTATATCATTGTATAAAACATTATGTTCTAAGAAATTATTATGTTATTTCTGTTACAGCATTTTTGATAAACAAATTGATATTTTTTGAAACAACAATTGAATTATGAAACATTTTCTATTTGTCAGATAGTGTGAAGATGTCAAAATTGAAGTCAGTTGTCAACCCACTTGAGCCTGCTAGTTGGTAAAGGGAAGGAGCTTCCTGTATCAGAACTTCCAACAGTGAGAGACATGCTAAGATTAGGGTTACTCCTTCGAGAAAAAAATGCAAAGGACAGAAGGAACTATACAGATAAAGAACTCATAAATGACATGATAGTCCCTCTTCTGCATCAATGGACAAAAGCTAATGCACTATTCAAACCACCTGTGATTAATCAGTGTCGAACTATTGAGCTAAAACTAACGAAATTATGGCACAAAGCAGTTGAAACATCACTTGGTAAAGGAAACTTGGCCAGGAAAAATGAATTTCTGCACACACTTGATACTCTGTTTGACCTGCAAGTGCTCCATACAATTATGTTCTGAATCCAACTGTTCTCACTCAGGTAAGAGAGAAAATAATTCCCACATTGATTGTGGTTGTCCTCGTGAAAAGAAGATCCCTGTTTTAGAGCTTGAATTTATAAAGGCACAGAGGACAAAGGCAGAAGGCCAAGGAAGTATGCAAATGGGTTCAATAGATTATTCAGAAACAAAGAAGCAGATTGCTAATGCCAAGAAGAGAGAACAAATCCGAGAGAGGGAACAAAAGAAGAAAATGAAGAGTGAAGAAGCCATCCAAAGAGAGGAAGAGCTGTGTCAAGATGTTTATCACTTCTTTGATAGTTCTTCTGATGAACAGGAAGCAACATCAGATGATAGTTCCAAAGAGCCATCTGAACCTTTACCAAAGAAAATGAAATACAACACAAGAAATATTTCAAACATTGCTTTAGCTAGTATTCGCCACCATGCTGAACTTCGTGAGGCTGCAGAAATTGCAACTGCCGCCGCTTGGATAGATGCAGGCCTCATCAGCCGAGAGGATGTATCTTTGGTGATAGATCATAATAAAATTAGAAGAGCACAAGAAAAAATAATGAAGGAAATATCTGGTGAGCATGAAAAAGATTTAAGCGAGGGAGGGCTCTCCTGTCTTTTGCTTGATGGAAGAATAGATGACACAAAAGTTTTGCTAGAAGTAGAGGGAGTGAACAGAAAGTTTCCAGGTCTCATCAAAGAAGAACACTACTCTGTCTGTTCTGAGCCTGGTGGTCGGTTTTTGTTTCACTTTGCTCCCGAAACTGAAGTAGAAGGGAAGAAACATGCAGAGGTCATTGCTGATCATATTTTATGTTGGGTTCAGGAGAGAGGACTTGGCAGTTCACTGCAGGCTGTTGGTGGAGATTCAACTGCAGTGAACACCGGATGGCAGGGGGGTGTAATGACGCATTTAGAGAAAAAACTAGGAAGAAGACTTGTTTGGATTGTATGTGATTTACATACAGGCGAGCTACCTCTTCGTCATCTCATCCAGGAACTTGATGGTCCTACAAAGAGCAACAACAAGTGGTCAGGTCCCCTTGGCATCATGCTGGATGAAGCGACACAACTAGAAATAAATACAACCTTTCCAAAGGTCGAAGTTGGCCCTCCCCTTCCGGCGTTGTCTGAAGGAGTCATCAAAGATCTCGGCACAGATCAATCCTATGCTTATCGTATTGCCCAAGCAATAAGATCATTGGCTCTCTTGGAGATTGGACCTGTCAGTCACAGCTGTTGGTTAACTACAGCTCTTCGTTTCTGCAGGATTTGGATTTCCAAACACGAATTGAAGGGCAAAGTGCTGAAGAATTTGAGGTTAATTGTTGAATTTATTATTGGAGTTTAGTGTGAAACTTAATCCTATGTGGGTGGATCACCTTTTGTTTCAATTGCAGCTAGTAAGAACAGAGGAAGGTAGTGAGGGACATCGTGTTACCTGTGGCAAGAAGGTCCGCTTGGTATGCTCGATCAGAAGCAGTTTTGCAAGCAATGCTTTGCAGTCAATGTACCAATCTCCGAACCGAGGCTGTAGAAGTCATTCTAAAGATTAGAGGAACGCTAATAGATGACGACCAGTTGGGAGACTGTTCGTTTCATTCAAGAAAAGTTCCCCCAATAAACGTCAATGCCACCAAATTGTCAGAATTGGTTGACTTGAGTTTGGAAGTCTTAGAGCCACCATTGACAACAAGTCTAACTAGCCAAGAATTGAGAAACCTTAAAGAGACTCCAATGCAGGTGCCGAAGTGTGGAGAGATGTGTGAAAATGGTCACAGAAGCAGCGGGCCATGTTTACAGCCACTAGAGGCGAGAAGGTTACATCAAAGCACAAATAGCAAGCAGACTACTGATGACAAGAAACCAAAGCAAAGAGAGTATGAAGGCATTGGTTACTTTCAAATAGACTACGGATAATAAAATAGAATAATTTGAAACAGTAACATGTGTGCAAACGCTGGTTATGTTATAAATTCACAAATATGTACATTTAAAAATCCATTTGATGTAGGTAGGACTTATTATAAAAAAAAAATTATGCCAGAATATTGTTTTGCATGCTTAAAGACTACAATAAATTGCTACCAAATTACTCGATTTTCAATTTAGCCAGTTCACCCCCTAAATTGACACACCCTACCTGAGTGTCCAGACCCATATATTATGACGGCACCAATGACAACTGATGAAACACAGCTGACCTGTGGGAGGTGAGTAACTGTTATTTCACATGTGTATAAGCCTATTCTAATACAGTACAGTACTTGCTGTTAACGCTCATAGGAGCGTTATTGGTTTGACGCTGGAGAAATAAACCCTCGACGTTGACAGGTACCACATAATTCGGTCAAAGAACAATTCTCATATAACAAATGCTGTTATCTCGGGATACATAGTATGAATAATACAACCTATGTACAGTACATAGCCTGTTAACATCTTAAATATAACTCGCGTTTTATAACTGTTGATACATCAGATCAAATTACAGTACATAAATATACTTATTAAAGTTATTTAGAGTTTCTTGGCAGATTCTAATACTTCACGATCGCTCACGTCTTAGGGTCTAGTGGTCCGAACCGACGTGTCGTCTGTCCCGTAGAAATCGGTGGACTACCCTCGAGGGCCATCCGTTTCGTATTGAAGCACCTCGGCTAATTCGTCGTCAACACTATATCCGTTCTCTCCCGCCTAGTTTATCATCCCTCTTTCTGTCTCTTCTAGTTTATCTTACTGTGGCGGTAACACTTGTGTTTTTTTACACGTGTATTCCTTTGAGACTGTTTTTACCTTATTTATCTAATGGCCACCCAATAGGGGTGGCTATGCCAAGGGATGGAGACCAGTGGGTTATGTAAGATCCCTGCATTGTTCTTGATAATTTTGTCAAGGTTTCTTTTGTAGTCCAGTACTGTTCTTGATTCCACAGCTTGTGCTGGCAGACTGTTCCATAGGTCTACCAGTCTGTGTAAAGTAGTATTTCCTTATATTTGTTCAACATGAGAACTTGGCCAGCTTGTAGTGGATGTGAGACTTTATCAAGTGCCCTAGAGAAATCCACATACATCCATGGTCAAAAAGTTTGTTCAACCCCAAATAAAATGAAACCGCAGGGGTAAGTCGAGTCAGAAACTCGTTCCTTTTGACTGACCGTACAACACATCCACTGGTAGACCTTGGTCCATGTGGTCTGTTAAAAATTCAATGAAAATGACTTAAGTTTGTCAGCAGAATATTCTATCCATGAAATCATGTTGTGATGCATTGATTAAATTGTACTCAGTTGGATGATGAGGGTGTCTACTGGTCTGGAAATGGCAAACAATTTTAACGGAGGCTGGAAAAAGTCGGAAATTTTATGTGAATTCAGTGCAACTTCAAAATATTGTTATTTTGACAGTAATCAATGCTGTACTGTACTGTATAATAGGTAAATAATTTAATTTTTAGATGCAAATTCCAGTAAGTGAATTGTTTGTATACCTATAGTATCATATTTTATGTTAGTGATCAAATAACAAAATATTACACGTCACAGCTACTGATTCTGCAATGAGTATTGTCATAGATGAATTGTTGTTTGTTATTTAAGTGGATGAGAAGTGTGATTTTTCAGTTGTCACTGCTAATGACATGGTTACCCTTCTGTGCCACCACAGTTGGAACCCCCGATTACATCAACTTTCCCCCGTGCTATCTGGATTTTGGTCGGGGATACTTGTGTCCGGTGCTGGACCCCAGGCCGGTTTTCAAGAGGATCTAGATTAAGCGAGTCCGGGCTAGAGGGAGTTTACTGTACTATAATGAAAGCATCTTTATTCCTTCAGTATGAAATCAACCCTGAAGATGTCAAATATTTTCTGATTTAATAAGTGATATTTTCTCAACCATGTCGTACAACCTTCATCATGACTATGTGGTTATCATCGTACTCCGGGACAATACGATATTAACTTCTCTGTACCAGTATTTTGGGACAACACTTAAGTTCTTTAGGGAAATTGGGACTCAAACAGACTGTCAGGTTCAGGAGAGGTCAAAAGAATGGCTCTTAAGATAAAAGTGAATACTAAATGTAGGAGGATGCACCTAGGTCACGTGTCCCAACCGGACGAAGAAACGTCATTAACGGAGACCAAAATACCGTACGAGAAGGACCCGGGAGTGTATGCGACACGTAGATGGTCTGTCCCTCGTAACGCTTTTCGAGTATTAGGTGCTTCCCGTCCGAAGTACCGTGACCCCGTTTGGTCCCTCCCCTCCACCTGTACTTCCCCACCTCCACCTGTACTTCCCCACCTCCACTCCACCTCCACTCCCCTCCACCTCCACTCTCCCCCACCTCCACTCTCCCCCACCTCCACTCCCCCCACCTCCACTCCCCCCCACCTCCACTCCCCCACCTCCACTCCCCTACCTCCACTACCCCACCTCCACTCCCCCACCTCCACTTCCCTACTTGCACTCCTCCCACCTCCACTCGCCCTCCTCCACTCCCCCACCTCCACTCTCCCCACCTCCACTCCCGTACTTGCACTCCTCCCACCTCCACTCCCTCACCTGCACTCCCCTACTTGCACTCTCCCACCTCCTCTCCCCCACCTCCACCGACGGAGGGCTGCAGTTCACAAGCCGGGACTTTGCTGCGTTCATCGAGCGACGGGGAGTCCGGCAGGTGTTGTCACCGTCCCATTACCCGCAGTCCAACGGCCACGCCGAGGCTGTTGTCAAATCCCTGAAGCACCTCATCCTCAAAGTGGCCACTTCTGGGAATATCCTCAACTGCGAGGCCTTCGACCGGGGTCTCTTCGAACTCCGCAACAACCCAGCTACACCGGATGCTCCCCTGCCCAGGTCTTGTATCCCTGCTCACGCTCAGTCCTTCTCCAAGGAGTGGCAGGTTAAGACAGAGGATTGCGGCCGCCGAACGAGTTCGTGACGTCGTCGCCCGCTAATACTACCACGCCCGTTCTCTCCCCAAGTTGAGTGTCGGCACCCAAGTCCGTGTTCAGGACCTTATCTCCCTACGTTAGGACAAAGTGGGCGTAGTCATGGGTCTCGGTAGATCACGGGACTACCAGGTGCTGTTACCCAGTGGTCGCGTGTGGTGGAGGTAACCGCCGTTTTCTCCGCCCCGTAACAACGCCTTCTGCTGACCCCGTCACCAGTGTTGAGTCCTGTGTCCTCCCCAGTGATCAAGTCCCTCGACGCTCAGAACGGATCCAAAAGAAAAGGTCCGCTCAAGACTTTGCTATGAGCGTATAGAGGGGGGGGGGTTATATGTGTATGTTGTATGTATATTATGTATTCCATTTATATATATACTACTTATTTAGCCTAGCCAGCAGCATGTGGCAATGCATTTGTTATGTCCCACACGCTTAGATAATGTGCCTGGCGACATATGGAAGCTGCTACATGTCGCCTGAGGGCTCGGTTGTTGATAGAGTAGGGAGTGCCGTCTTGTTGTATTGTAGTGGGCTACCTCCGCTATATAAGACCTAATCTCGTGGTGACCTACCTCTTTCTACCTACACCACCTCCTCCGCTCCTGCCTGGCGGCCCTCGCTTCCGTCGGCGAGCATGGCGAGCCACAAGCTGGTCCTCCTCTGAGCACCCTCACCAACCAGATCTCTGTACATCACGCTTGTAACCAACCTGCCACTTCCCAGCACCAAGCTGCTCTGTACATCCAATACAATATGTATACAGAGAGCACATTGTGAGTTTCCTTTCTCCAACCAATATCTCATAACCCCACAAATGGTGACCCCGGAGATTCGCACTCACACAGGATGGAGGAGAAACCGATCACTCTCCCAGTCTTCAAGCAACATGGAAGACTGGCTTATCCACACAGAGGCAGCTCTCATCGGCTCTACAGGTACTGTCTCTACACCTCAGGTTAGACACCGTAGAGCAGCTCTGCTACTCTAAGCAGACACCAGCTCCTCTTCCTGCCCCAAGCACCACGTCCTATCGACCCCAGCAGGCGCATCTGAGGACTCTGTACCTGCCGAGAGGGAAGCACAGCATTCGTCGCCGTTGTTTTTTTCCCTCCGGCACTCCCACCTGCTGTTGTAGACCCTGCTCCTATTATAGACCCTCCTCCTGACGTCGCCCCTGACCCAGTGATCATGAGGACGCTGCCCCTGCAGCGACAGAAGCACAACATTCATCGCCCCCACACACCCTTTTTCTCCCACAGATCTCGTGTGTCTAGACTCGAGACAGTTGTCTCCCCTAGCGGCCGGGTCTTTCACGCCCTCGCCGTTATGTCTCGCATGCACCGCCGTTTTGCCTCGCATGTGCCATGCAACCCTGCAGACAACAAGTCTCCTGGAGGGAAGGGGGGAGTATCGTAGTGGATTCCTCCCCTACAAACGCTGTTTGTCGCAGAGTAGCCGACCCCGCGAATTCCCCAGCGTATGCGTCGTGGTCTAGGTCAACTATTAAGCCACGCTTATCTCCGCTATATAAGACCTGACCTCGTGGTGACCTACCTACACCAACCAGCAAAATAGAATTCTACGAGTGTTTCTGTTCGCCCCTGTAGTTAGAACCGAATACCTAGAACATGTACAAATATATTATGCTTATTTTTAAAAAAAATTTTCTTATTCCAGGTGTTTCGCATATTATCCGAGTCAACAGAAGGAGTTCGTCTTTACGATCAGCTCCTTCCGACCATCTCCGAGATGTCATCCGGAGAGTTGAAGTTTGCTCTTGCCATCCGGTCTCTTCTCCAGAGTATCGTCAGAGGTACAATGATTTATATTAAGAATATCTTCAATATAATTAGCCCTAGCATTTCAAGTGGATGAATGTTTAATTAGTAAGAATCATGATACCACTTAAAAAGTTGTCAATTTGCTTTAAAAGGGTATTTGTGGGGGATAAATGTAAAGGTGTACATATAAATGCAAATATTGAGTGTTTTATTATGAGGTACAGCACAGTACAAGCTTTTAGGTATGATTTTGTCACCGCTAAATCTGCATTACACATTTTGTAATCTACTTTTATTTCCAAAATCTGGTTAAACTGTCTGGGTTTTTCTCACAGTAGGAGCAGAAATAGGCACTCCTTGATTAATCACGCCTCCATCACTGTGTCAAGCTCTGCTGACCTGGCTCTGTCGATGGAATGTGGCTGTGTACTATTTACACTTTGGAGGTCACATTGAAGCAACACTTAGCAATGATAGGGAATTACGCAGTGCAGTATATATTTTATTTCAATATTGTTGCTGCTAGTGAGTTGTACTAAACAAGTATCCACTATGTATTTCATAACATTGTAATTTGTTTTGGCATTCTCAATTTTTGTTTCGGATATACTGTATATATAGGGATGCTGTAATCTAAAATTAGGTTTTGCATACATCAAGAGTACGTTTGTGGCTCCTCACGAGTTGTACTTGCTCAGAAATATATACTGTACAGTAATGTTATATACAGGTTGCACTTAAAAAAATCCAAACATCATTTATCCCCAAACTGTGAACATCCAAAAGTGATCGCATTGATTATAAAAATTTACCGCGCTGCCAGATGATGGCGTTTCAGCACACTAAGCTAAGATATCATCACCGGGGCATTTTCTCGTAGTCGGTCACTGAGTTACACCCTCCGACTCGCCGTCACCCGCACTTACGAACGGGATCCCAATACATTCACCTCAAAAAGTTGTAATTAAACTGTCATTATTTTCATCATTGTTTAACAGCACTTTATGTTATGTAACCTAAAGTATGGGTCCAGGAACTTATCCCTGTTGTAAGTTGCGGACGGCCTGTATTATTATTAACATTATATTTTGAGTTCCTTAGTTTAGTGTGTTTGTTATACCTGTACATGCAGTATTATATATTAGTTTATAGTTGTCATATATGTAGTATTTTATTTGGTGCTTAATGAAATATTAGGGTTTTTAATAATGACCTTGAGTTAGCCAACAAGTTCAGTTATCTGAAACATTTTGGATTTTTGAAGTGGAACCTATATTTCAACTCCCTCCTCAAAATATTAATGTACTATAGGAACAGAAATGGTTGATTTAAATTATTGCTCCAAACTGCACCACACCATAGTGCCATCTTTGGCATATACAGTAAATGAACTTTTGTAAACTGTACTGTACATATTTAATGTCACATGATGTGACAATGTTTGTTTGGTCAAGTGATGTATAGTGCATGTCATTAGTGTAACGGTCGGTGCCAAATCATCGTTATTTGGCGCCATTCATTTTTAGATATACCTGTATCTCATTTATGAGACATTGTTTATCTAAGCCAAGAGTTGTTACGTCTTGCATATTTCATCTCCGTCGTCAGAAAATGTAACGGCGCGATGTTGAGCAATTTGTTGCCAGCCTATGGATGATAGATAGGATCTGTACATATCATATTAAGTCTTCAACACCAGATATTTATTGTCAACTCTAAATGAAATATGTTGTGAATAAAACTTTTCAATTTGTGTTACCAAAGTGAGAATAAAAGATTGTCTCCGGCCAGCTTTTTTCTTTTATTATGTCCCGTAATATTCCCCCCGCCGAGAGCCTCCGTCGTTTGCTTTTAATGTATACGGAGACCGAAATCACAAATTTACGGTTTACGACGAGACGCGAACGTGCAACGTCACGAAAGAAATATTGGCCGAACATTTATGGTAAATAATTTATTTCTTCACTGCCACACGATCAGAGTTTCGTTGTTTTACCCCGTAATTTCCTTCATGTTTCGTGCCCTGCCCGCTATGGGTGATTTATGATCGTAGATAGAGAAAAAAAATCTTAAAATTAAAGAAAAAGTTGTATCATTTTTATTACGATCATCCAAACATTTGTGGATAAAATGAATGAAATAGAAAAACTGCTTCTGGTGTTAAACCACGGCTTTGAGACTGTCTCGGCGACCGACGCCGAGCCCACGTGTTTCCGAGGGGCCGTCTCCACCTTTCAGTGGTGTCCCCGAAGATACTACTACTACTACTAATGTTTGGAAAGGCAGTTGTCAACATACCATCTGGAAAGGCTTGTCACTGACTTGTCAGATTCAGAAGAGAAAATGTCTTTAAATTGCAAAAACTCCTCTAGAACAGATGCTTCCAGGTCACTGGAATAGGTACTGACAGCCAATGGTGTCATACTCCGTTAAGGTAAACCGCTTCTTTATTTCTATTCATTCGTAATATGGTGTAGAAATTGTCCACCTTGGATCAAGTTGAGTTTCAGTGCCAACTGATTCATCCAAGAAATGTTTTCTCTTTTTTGTTGTCGTTGTAGACAGGCTCGGCCTGATCTTCTATTTCATCCAACTGACCCCGTCTCATTTGTGAGACGAAGATGATCAAGCTCTCATACAGTTTCACAACTGACAGAAGGTGGGTGTGAACTTTTTGAAGTGATAAGCTGGTTGCATTAAACCTTGTTAAGATTTGATACTATTTTACAGCAAGAAGTGGTGTTTCAAATGCTTGCATTCGTCTTATGAGGCCTTGACCTTGAAGCTACTGTCGGAACATATTTTGTTCTCCAGTGCTGACTTTATCTCAAGGTAATGTAAAAACACTGCAGCCAGTTTGTGAAAGGGATTTCGCTACAATCCCTTCAGCCGGTAGTGCAGCTGATGATCCCAACTATATGTGGAGGTTGAGAAGTAGTTGTATAAGGTTTGCAAAAATCCGGAATTTGAAAGAGACCCAAGGCAACTGATGTTCCTACAAGGTTCAAGGAGTGACCTGCACAAGGGACGTAATATGCCAGCCTTTATTCTGGCAGTGTAAATGGCTGACATAGTGGCAGCATTGTCATAACTCTGCCCTCAAGACGAACTTCTGTAATTAACTGTACAATAGTTGAGGCTATGCTCTGTGCACCATGGTCATGTATATGTCTATGAAGTTATAAAAAAATCGCTCAACTATGAATGTAAGTTGGTCAGTATGACTAACATCCGGCGTGGAATCTACACTAACTGACTAATATTTGTCTCGTTTCACTTCACTTATGATAATTGATTGACCATTTGGTCACAAATCGTTTTTGAGAGATATGAAGTGTTTGCACAGCACCAGATGCTGTGCAAGAAAAGTGTCCAATTTGGCCAGGAGTTGCAAGGTAATTGCCATTGTTGCTAGAGCCTATTCTTTCATCACTACCTCTGAGAGGAAGACCTCTCGATGTTAAAATTTGTAGTGTTTCAACTATGCGCAATAGACGTTCTTTGCATTATTTTCTCTCCAATTGTAGTTGCAAAGCCAAAGTGGAATGAATTCGCCTTGCTGTAATTGCCCTCACACCCCAACTGAAATTTGATGCTCTCTGCCACTTTCACGTTCGGCAACTGTACGCCGGCAGTTTTTCCAGTCGCTAAACGCATTGAACGCAAAATACATCTCCAGTTTTTGGAGAATACACAAGGATTTGGGCACATACCGAACTCTTTCCTTTTCACTTGTTGAGAAGTGACCTTGTTCACAATTTAGATCAAGAGAATGATTTAGTAAATAGTCAATCGGTTTATCATCAACTGTCAGCCGGATCACTCGACACCGGTTCCATAGAATGTTTCTTATAATTCAACTGAGATGAATCGGACGAAGCTTCAGTCACAGGTTGGAGAAAGGAAACTCTTAATGGTGGTTTTCTTCTATAAAATATATTATATACAAAACAGTCTGGTGCTTGGAAGAGGAGACGAGACGCGGCGTGTTCAGGAACGTAGGGTAGAATGAATTTCAACGGCGAGACCGAGAGGTCATACACTCGGCTACCGGAAGTAAACCCGGATGCCAGCGTCGCAGGTGACCCCCCCCCACCCCCGTGAGAAAGTCGCCGAATCCCGTCTCATTGGAATGCGGCTAGGCTCGTCAGTTTGTAGGAGAGTATCCACTACGGTACTTGCATTGCTGTAGGTGGCGATTTACTTAATCTCAGCTGACCTCGTTTCGTCATCCGAATCACTAAAGTGAACCTCTACTGTGTCATCCTCTGGGAGTTTACTGTCACTGGGCTCTGAATCTCCTTTTGGTTTAAAAAAAATGTCAGCTTTGGCTACTTTTAAGTTCCTCTTTCGTGAGCAGGGCCTCTCTACATATCAGGGCTGGTCGACTTGAAACCACACGAATGACTCCAGTCATGTCTCACTTTTGTGTGTGTTGGGAATTTGTACACTATCAATAAATATACAGTTAATGAAAAATGTCTCAATGTTTTAATTTCCTCAATATAACTGCATATGGCTTCCAAATTCTGCAAAGAAGTGTTAAAATTTCAATAATTTCCCGGGGGGGCTTACAGCTCCCCCGGAACTCCCAGATGTTTAGGCTCGTTTCACTCGCCACCCCACAAAGAGGCTGGCTGCCTGCCCATGGGTAGTGTGTGCAGGTCAGAGTTGGCGGTACAGTGTGT